CCCCCCCCCCCCCCCGATGAAGCGCTCACTAATAGTCACTTTTCCTTTCAGGCAGCAGCCAGAGCTTCTAATGCATCGTTTGTTTTCTCCCCATCCCCCTCGTCTCTCGTACAACGGGCAGAGCTCATTCCCCCCCCTCCTTTACTGTAGTATCACACGCATGCTTCCCCCCCGCGCGCGTGCACACACGCTCACACACATACATACATGGAGAAGTAGGAGGAGAAATGCAAATAACAAAAAGGGGGGGCTGAGAAATCTCAGCTGCACTTCTGGCCCTTTTAAAAAGTTTGCTGTGTAAATTGGAATGAGGTCAGATTTGGAGCTTCTCATTGCACGCGGTGATTATTATTGCATTGGATTCCAAGCCAATAGGAGCCGAGAAGGTGGGGTTTGGCACGACGAAGCGTTGGATACAGCCTGTGATTGGTCAAAAAAAATACTGTGAAAGGATAAAGAGGCACGAGGCGGAATTGGGGTCCGCGCTAAGCTGCAGCAGGAGAAAGTATGTAAGAGTGGGGAGACCCTTCAATTGCATAGCCCCGGTTCGTACATGTCTCTTTCCTCTCTTTGGGGCGCTGCAGCCAAAGGAAGACGAGGCAGGACTACGTATATTTATTGCACCAGTTACCGGTCTTCTTACCAGGAAGACACACATTTGTTAATACTACTTGGTTGTATGAGCGGGGCATTTTTTCTCTCTCTGGCCCCTTGCAACCGCTGAAAAACCACCGAACAGACTTCTGATTCATCTACCACGAGTCCTACAAGACTTTTTTTTTAATAATTGGTGGGATTTTTGTTTTGCGGGAGGTAGGATTTCTCCCCCTGCCCCCTCCGTTCTTTTGCTTTGCCCTTCAGAGAAACAGAGTCTGAGCAGTGGGCGTGCTGCTTTTGCTGAAGCACCTCGAGCACAGAAAGAGTGAAAAAAAGCACTTGTGAACTCCGGGGTGGGGGAAGAGGTAGAAGAAAAAAAAGAAGGCGAACTCGGATTGGCGGTTGGCTAAAAAAAAAAGAGAGAGAGAGAGACGGGAAACTCTTTCCACTTTGAGCCGGGCTCCAGCAGTTAGATTCCCAGTGCAAAGTTGGGAGAGAGGCGTGCAAGAGAGCGCCGGAGAGACAAAAACGGTGCGTGGAGCTACAACTACTACTTCCCAGAGGGGGATCGTGCCTTAGTGGCGAGGAGGACCGGAGCGTTTGCGACAGGCGGCCGACCGGCTGGGAAAAGTTGCGTGCCTTGTCTCAAGCTGGTGCCAAACTGAGCCCCGCCGATCTCCCCACAGCCGCCGCCGCCGCGTGCGAGCCCCCGAGATGGTGCAGCAGACGAACAACGCGGAGAACACGGAAGCACTCCTGGCCGGCGAGAGCTCGGACTCGGGCGCCGGCATCGAGCTGGGCATCGCCTCCTCTCCCACGCCGGGCTCCACCGCTTCGACCGGGGGCAAAGCCGACGACCCGAGCTGGTGCAAGACGCCCAGCGGGCACATCAAGCGCCCCATGAACGCCTTCATGGTGTGGTCGCAGATCGAGCGGCGGAAGATCATGGAGCAGTCGCCGGACATGCACAACGCCGAGATCTCCAAGCGCCTGGGCAAGCGCTGGAAGCTGCTCAAGGACAGCGACAAGATCCCGTTCATCCGGGAGGCGGAGCGGCTGCGCCTCAAGCACATGGCCGACTACCCTGACTACAAGTACCGGCCCAGGAAGAAGGTAAAATCCGGCACTAGCGCGGGCAAGCCGGGCGAGAAGAGCGGCGGGGGCGGCAGTAGCGGCAGCCACGCAACCGCCGCGGCGGGGGCAGCCGCCAACTCTTCCAAACTCCCCCCGAAGAAGGGCAGCGCCGCCAAACTCTCCCCCAGCGGCGCCGGCAAGCCGCATCCCAAGCTGAGCCTGAGTGGTGGCGGTAGCAGCAGCAGCAGCAGCAAAGGCTCGCCTCCGTTCCCGTCGTCAGAGCCGCCGGCCGCCCTCCTGCCCCCGGAACACCACTCGCTGTACAAATCCCGCGCCGCCTCGCCGGGCTCCTCCTCGCCCTCGAGCGGCGGCAAACACCTCCCCGAGAAGAAGGCCAAGCGGCTCTACCTCTTCTCGCACGCCTCGCCCGGCGGCGCCGTCCCCGCCAGCCCCACGCTCAGCACCTCCACCGAAGCCAGCGACCCGCTCAGCCTCTACGACGAGGCGGGAGCCGCCGGCCGCCACCCGCACCCCCACGACGGCGTCGGAGGCGCCGAGCCCGCCGGCTCTCCCCCGGGCGGCTGCTCGCCGTCGGACCACCGCAGCTACACCAGCCTGAGGGCGCCCTCGCCGGCGCCGTCCACCTCGCACTCCTCCTCCTCCTCGTCGTCCGGCTCCTCCTGCGCTTCCTCCTCCTCGGACGACGAGTTCGAAGACGACCTGTTGGACCTCAACCCCAGCCCGGGCTTCGACAGCATGGCCCTGGGCAGCCTCGGCTCCTCGGTCCTCGACAGGGACCTGGATTTTAACCTGGAGCCCGGCTCGGGCTCCCACTTTGAGTTCCCGGACTATTGCACGCCCGAGGTAAGTGAGATGATCTCGGGGGACTGGCTCGAGTCCAGCATTTCCAACCTGGTCTTCACGTACTGAGGGGAGGAAAGGGGGGACAAGGAGAAGAAGATTTCATTTTTGACGGGGGGGGGCGGCGGTGAGAGAAGACACCCCTCCGCCCCCGCTACAGACTGAGGAGCGAAGATTTCGCCCGCGGTTGCTCCGCTCTCTCGGTTCCGCCATGAAACTGACTTCGGGGAAGGGGGTGTGTTCGTTTGTTTTGGTTTCTCTAAAACATTTCAGGCGGCAAAAAGGGATCGACCCCCTTTTTTAAAAAAAAGAATAGCAACCCCCAAAGTGTATCTCTCTTTGAAGAAGCAGATCCCCACCCACCCCTGTTTGCTCCCCCCACGCTTCACCCTCCCAGCGGCTGCAGAAAATGAGTTCAACGTTTCAGAGACGATCCCACGCACCCCTCGGAAGGCTCTCTGCTTCTTGTCCAGTGATATTGGAAGGGGGGGGGGGATTGTGCTGTGAGTTTTGGTGTCTGTGTGTGTGGGGGTGATGTTAAAGGTTTATGTCCGAAGCAAATCTGCAGGCGTTGCAGT